TAAATTTACCCCGCAATGTCGAGTTGCGAACGCCATCACATCAGGAATGCCGGCCAGGGTTGTTCTGCGAATAGCACTCCAATCAAACCCATGCTTAGAGTCATGCCTCGTGCCCCTTGTCACACCGATAATTCACATCCAGACGGGCGGCAACATTGAGATTCAGGCGGCTAATGTAGGTAGGACTGTGCTCATGGAGGGGAGGGGCGACGGTACACTCTCCGGCTGGTGGACAGGCAGAAACCTATCATGGAGCTACGGGCGCGCAGCTGAGCGACTCAGCTTCGCAACACTACTGATCACCTATGCCACACGTATCGGTGACCTGTTTATATCATAGTCCTGCGATAGGTTATGAGGAGCAATTACCTTTGCCCTTCCCTCCCTCCAAGTCATGCCGACAGTCTGTTTTTGCTTGCCGATCCCGCGTGTTCTTCCAGCTCGTGCGTGCGCGATACACATTCCAATGCTCCCCAGATTTAAGCGGCAGGGTATGGCTCATGGCAGCCATCTTATCACGTAATCCGGTGTTTATCCTATCCGATGATCATAGTCACTTGGGAAGTGATTTGCAGGCTTCTTCGTCTGCAATGTCGATCTATCACTACACGGGCCACCGGGACGAAGAAGACAGATAGATAGACTTCAACAAACGCTTGCTGCAATGAGGGTGTGCTGGCACTTTGGTGATTGCATGTCCCAAGTGCATGTGTAAGTACGCAGCACAGTGTACACAGTGGACGTATAGCTAGTTAAGCTGATGCTTTCTGACATAACAATATGACGGAGCAGATACTGCTTCTCACGCAGTATGGTTCAGCTTCAGCCGAATTCTAGGTCTCACCGAGTCAGCTTCTTTGCGCTATATTCGTGACTGCCATAAGCAATATGGTAGTGCTTGAGCCCTACATCCCTGGCAATAGTATGCCGCCAATAAAGTATGCAGGCTTGTCATTTGGACCACCGGTGAGGCTGGAAGCAAGCAAGCAAACAAGCAAGCAAGCACCACGAGGTTGCTCAGAGAGAATGCCGTCGGGAACTCTCCGCCATGACTATTCCCCAGATAGGACTAGTGGTATCACTCATCCTTGATTCCTGAGGCTAGTCCCCATTGGGAGGCCTGGTCAAAGTGCCCAGCCCCACAGCCCCAGCCACATCCACTCGACGTCACGGGGCCCAACAAAGTAATTAGTGGCGCCGGATACTTGAGGCGGTGTCAACTCAACTCTCTGACGTCGATGTCTTGTCCAGTGCGCGTCACTGATTCTTGTCACAAGGATTATCTTTACTCCCCCCCACCACACATATCCCCAATCTCTAACCCAACATGCATTATTATCATCAATCATGAACGGGGCGGAGAAGTCTGCAGCTGGTGACACCTACGATCCCAGTACGATACCGGATTACGACCGAGAATTCATCAATCCCGATGACTTGCGCCAATTCGAGCTTGCCTTGACGGACCAGGGCGCGTCACCGCTCGTTGCCCTCAACGACTGGCGCCCCATCTACCAACGGGTCAGGCGCGAACGTGGGCGCCGCAAAGAGCCTAGGCGGACCAAGGATGAGACCAGAGAAGGTGTGCTATACACAGTTTTGAAGTGGCCCTTTTTGTTCACCGTCTTTGGTTGGATCACGGCCCTCGCCTTTGCCTACACACTCACCCGTGTCTACATCTTCCTGTACGAGCAGTGGGTAACATGGCGGGGCAGAAGGCAAAGCCTCAGAAGACAGTTACGCGCACAAACGAATTACCCCGACTGGCAAAAAGCCGCCCGAGCGCTCGACGATCATCTGGGGAATCAGAGATGGAAGGAGATCGACGAATATGCCTACTACGATCATCTTACGATTAGCAACCTAGTGAAACAGCTGAAGAAGGTGAGACGGGAGGTGGAGCGTGAAAGGCGTGAGAAACGTCGCGGCTCAGGCCAGTCGCCTGCAGCTGAAGAATTATGCACACTACTGGAAGCGTGTGTCAAGAACAACTTCGCCGGGGTGGAGAATCCCCGACTCTACAGTGAGGCTTACTCTGGTACCAAAAACTTGGTACAGGAATACATTGACGAGCTGCATGCGTGCATACAATTGGTCGCAGACTCGAAGGGAATCGGTAGCGAGGAGAAATTACAGCATTTCAAGCATTTGGACACCAACTTCGGACGAACCGCCCTCTGCCTGTCTGGAGGCGCTACATTCGCCTATTACCACTTCGGAGTAGTGCGAGCGCTACTGGATAATGGGGTTCTGCCGGAAATAATTACGGGCACGTCAGGAGGAGCGCTGGTCGCTGCGTTAGTTGCTACGAGGACCGACGAGGAGTTGAAGCAGTTACTGGTGCCTGCTCTAGCGCATCGGATCAGGGCATGCCAGGAGGGCTTCCCGACTTGGGTATGGCGATGGTGGCGGACAGGAGCGCGATTTGATACTCTTGAATGGGCCCGACAATGTAGCTGGTTCTGCAGGGGCTCAACTACGTTTCGGGAGGCATACGAACGAACAGGGCGCATCCTGAATGTATCTTGTGTGCCATCTGACCCTCATTCGCCTACAATTTTGGCCAACTACCTAACTTCACCTAATTGCGTAATCTGGAGCGCAGTGCTCGCGTCTGCAGCAGTCCCTGGCATCCTGAACCCAGTCGTCTTGATGACGAAGAAACGCGACGGCACCCTGGCGCCGTACTCGTTCGGACACAAGTGGAAGGATGGCAGCTTGCGCACCGATATTCCCATCAAAGCATTGAATCTTCATTTCAACGTCAACTTTACCATCGTTTCTCAGGTAGAACCTCCTCTCATTATACCCAACATTGAGCACACTGGACTAACACCACCCCTCCCTACTAGGTAAACCCACACATCAACCTCTTCTTCTTCAGCTCTCGAGGCACCGTAGGCCGACCAGTCACGCACCGCAAAGGTCGCGGCTGGCGCGGAGGTTTCCTGGGCTCCGCGATAGAACAATACATCAAACTAGACATGAACAAATGGCTCCGAGTCCTGCGGCACCTCGAACTTCTTCCCCGGCCCATGGGCCAAGACTGGAGCGAGATCTGGCTGCAGAAGTTCAGCGGCACAGTGACCATCTGGCCCAAGACCGTCCCCTCGGACTTCTTTCACATCCTCTCGGACCCCAACCCGGAGCGCCTCGCCCGCATGCTCCGCGTGGGTCAGCAAAGCGCATTCCCCAAGCTCCAATTTATCAAAAACAGACTAAAGATCGAAATCGCCGTGGTGAAAAGCCTACAGAAATTCGCGCACGCCGGCGGCAGACCGATCTCTCCGGCGCCATCCCGCTGGCGCCAAAATAACGACCCGGATAACCACTACAATCCCAGCCCCCGCACTGCCACCGATCCCCTGAACGAACGCCTGGACCACAACCTTCCCGAACGACGCGGGGACAACGTTAACATCACATTCGGCGAAGGCGGCGGCAGCGGAGAAGACGCGCATTTACTGGACGGATCGCTGTCGGAGAATTCATCGAACGAATCTGCTGGGCGACCGACTTCTTCTGCTTCGTCTTCTCGGCTGCTGCGGGTCCCGGAACACCGTCGGGGTAGTACGGGGAGTAGTATTTTTGAGGAGATGAGACGGCAGTCGGCGGTTTTCTTTGATGTGGATATGTACGGGGATGATGAGGCGCTTAGGCCCGGGTGAGAGAAGACGTTCTTTTTCTTATCTCTGTCTGTCTGTCTGTCTGCCTGGTGTGGTACTTTTTGATGCGCTTTTTTAGCTAGCTTGCCATTTATCTATCTTCTAGTAATTTCTTTTGATCCTGTTAGGGAAGAATTAGATATTAATACTACTTGTACTTTATTACATTACATTAACTTACCAGTAGGGTATGAAAGGAGGTGGTGATGCCAGTAATTTCCGCTCGAGTTGCTAATGCATGTCAGATGAGAGTAATACTATCAGCACAGACTGCAGTGCTTAGTGGTACTAATAGGATACAGTAAATGAGGTGTTCTACGATAATATCCGTGTGCTTATTGCGTTAATCATGAGAGTAGTAATTGTAAGTAGTTCCAGAAATTGAGAGATCTCGTCGATTGAACTCAATCAAGTCCGACGGACTTAATCACTCAATATATCTCAACAGTAATGCACAACAACCCCGCTTTCATCCAAACAATCATCCCCCATCATCCCCCTTAGTTCTCAGTCCTTAGTACTACTTGTTTTCATACTACTATCCACATAAACCCAATCCCTCTCACATACAAGACACCCCTCCTCATACACCTACCCTACCACCCTTAACTTCCCAAACAGCCTACAAAACGAAATCCAAGCCAAGAGAGTCCCAATCCCAACCATTATGGGTGCACAGTACATCCCAATTGTAGCAGCTATGACCTGGGTGGTTATTGCTAGGAAGAGGAGGTATATTGTTGCTGCCATCCTTTTTTTTTTATCATTTTTTTTATGATGACAATGGTGATGATTGCCGCTGAAGATCTCCGGGACGGGCTGAGTTGGGCTAGATTTCCTGTGGAAGTGTTCAAGGTGCACCCATGGTAACATCACCGCACTGCGCATGCAGTAGCAGGTCTTGCATTGGGCGGGAGAGGGGGGTCAGATCTACTACTTGCATGTTGTTGAATAGGGGGGCAGCAGAGGCTTCTGAGAAGAGAGGAGGAGGAGTAGTAGTAGTAGTTGGGAATAAGTGAAGCAACTGACTCGACATGATTATCATGGATGTCTACCATCTGGAGTAGTTATGTACTTGATATCACACTATGAGTGATTTCAACTCAGTAGTACCATAGTGCTGCGAGGTTGTTGAGTCTGTGGAAATCTCTGAGAGCGGGATACTACTATGTACTGCAATCTCAAGACCATATACTATGCTAGTAGATAAACAAGTGATAGCGTAAGAAAATACTACTATGGTATTATCAATTTTTTAAGGTATAAAACTACAATCTGTTAATAGGGTAATCAGTACTAGTTACTAAGTAGTTGACACCATAGTAAATTCAGGCATCAAAGAACCCTTAATATATTTATACTACTACATCCCCGCGCCCACACTACCAATTCCAGACAGCTATATACTACTACTACCTAAACACAGATACCCAGTGTTGATTACCTACTCCAGAAACCAACTATGCAGTATTACACCCAGTACACACGCGATAGTCTATTTCATACTTCTCTTCCCCTTCATAAAATCCCACGTACCGATACATACTCCTACTCAATTTAACAACCAAGACAGTCACAGGACCCTGTCTTTTGAGAAAATCAAAGTCGCCACGCAGACACAAACAAACAAACAAAAGAAAACAAATCAAACCCACGTTGCTGCCACTGCTGCCACAGATGATGTTACTCTGCATATAAGATACATCATACATACTTAACAAGCTATCATGTGTGAGTGTGGCGGGTCTTCCATCCCCACCCCTGCTGCTTATGCCCCTGCCTGTCATGTTCGCCTCTTATGTCATGGTGCATATGCTGCATATATGATGATCATTACACAACAACAGTTAAATAGTCATGTAGCTAGTTGCCACATGATATGACAGGAAGCGGGGAAGTACTAATAGGTACCACGTAAGTACGTACCCTTGGAGTTAAACTATGCTTGACCTGGCAGGGTAAGAAATGGTCATTTGCACTGATACATAATTACTAATTACTTGCATGCAGGTCATGGGGTATTCTCTTTACAAGTAGCTAGTAGTAGCTAAGAAAGGACAAAGTACGTGCATAAGCTGATGGAGGTCTGAGTCCTAGGTACTCTGACCGGGTCCTGAGCGTGCATTAGCAGAGCATCCACCCATCCATCCCACTTTGCTTCGCGGCATTAGTAGTTGGACTAAACAATTAGTAAAGTCGTTATGTACAGTCAGTAGGTATTGGTACACAGTACAGGTGACTCCGGAATCAATGATTCGCCACCAAAATTGATTGACTAAATTACCAGCCATTTGGCCGTGACCTTCTGGGCTGATTGATAATCGCCGTTTAGGGCATAGATAATCTGCAGCGCTACGGCTGCTTCCCGCGAAAAGTCCTCCACGTACTGGGCTTGCGCTTCTAGCCCTGTATCGCCCATGACGACATCGCCGCCATCCTTCGGGTGAGAGTTTGTTTGTTGGGATTGCGCTTGGATCTGTGCGCCGAGATCTAGCACAAGCTGATAGCCTTCTATTGCTAGATGAGCAATTCCTAGGCTATGCCAGACGCGCGCAAAGTTGAATTCCATCTCTTGCCGCTCTGAAAGAGAACTTCCTGGTCGTTCACGGACGCGCCGATATTCCTGCAGAAATGACAGCCCCTGCATGATGAGGTAGTGGCGGTTTTCGGACTGGCGCTTGAGTGAGTGGTGGATATAGCAGAGGCCGATGGAGAGCAGGACTGCTGGATTTTGATCGTCCAGTGCATAGGCGCGGAACAAGTAATTCAGTGCTGGGTAGAAACTGTTTCCCGAGTAAAGGATGTGGCCGTACAGCACAAGGAGGGCAATGTCCATTTCATCTGCTGGAATAGCTTCGCCCGTTGTCTCGTCCCGCGTGGACAAGGATGCGCGTTCCTTGTAAGCCGACTCACGCACGAACCGATTTGGTCGCTCCCCTGTAACCTCATCCGGTATAGTAAAGTCCATAGCCTTGATCTGGCGCAGCATAAACTTCATATTTGGTGACGAGTGGAACAATGACCGGTGAGGATCACCGACGAGCCGGCTCAACATGGCGAACAAGCGATAGGTGTCAGTGACGAATTGGTACTCCTTGATAAACCATCGTGCTTCATTTGCTAGAGTCTCTTCGTCCTGCATCCGGAGCGCACAAGCTAAGAAGGTCAGTATCCCATGCAGAATATAATACAGTAGATACTCACTGAACCAGCAAACATGAATCGTGCGGGTGTCGGCTTTGGAGTGATACCAGACGCTGGCATCCGCAGCGGCTGCGAGCGTGTCGTACGCTTCGTCGGATTCTCCTTGCGCCGCCACAGTGAGGGCATACTCCAGGAAGAGGTCGAGCCATTCATTGAAGCTGATCCCATAGTAGTCAGTCGGTATAGCCCCTTGAAGAGGCTCGTCAGGAATACTCCCTAGATAACGATTAGCAATGCCCCAATATCACGAAAGGACATCCATTACCTAAAGACTCTTGGAGACGCCCAGCCATTTCTTGCATCTCATCGATGAAATTGCGCCCCTTGTGCCTCCCCGCCTTTCTCTGTGCTTCGCGCGAATATCCTAAGAAGGTTATGTTGCGTTGAATAGGGTAGAATACTCGGTTGGACCGGAATTCGCGTAGCAAAGCGTCTGCGATATCCAGCCAGTCCTCCGTGGCTTCTGCGTTGCCTTCTTTCGCTTGCGGAAGCAGCTGCATCAACTTGCCATAGAGATATTGCACATTTGCTATCCTTTGCTCTTCATTCATCTCCGTGTCCTTTGCAGCTGGTGCAGTAGTAGTCAGAGCAGTCGGCAGGTCAGCGCTTGAGGGCTGAGGCGCGATTGATCTCAAGGCAGCGTCTTCACGAGCCGTATCGGCGGCCTTGAATTCCACGGCGAGCTGTTCCAGCCTCGTGTCCTTGCGCCGGCGGTTACTACGGCTCTCCTGCCTTCCTAGCAGGACCGCTTCGTTGACGTATTTCAGAGCCTCTTCCGACATACCAATGCCCTCATAAAGCTTTGCCAGCTGCACACGGGATTCCACGTGCCGTGCGTCGTGCTCCGCAACCGTAAGAAAGCAGTTCTCGGCATCTTCAAGCTTGCCCAATACACTGCAACACTCCCCCATTGCCATGAAAAAGCCGACATCTGCGTACTCGTTTGTTTGTTGGAGTGGCATGTAGAATCGCAGTGCCTCTTCGAAAAGCCCGACGTCCTTGAGCGCATCAGCGGCCTCTCGGAAAAGGTCGCCATAATCGTACAACCGGGCATTTTCGGATGTGTCCTCCGGATTTAACCATTCGAGGTGGTGCTTAGTTCGTGCGTTAGAAAATAGGCCGGCTACTAATTGTGTACTGAAACACTTACCAGAGCTTCGTTCTTGTGCTCGTACCCCATTCGCAAACGAAAGAGTGCCAGCTTAATTCGCAACTCCAGTGGTAGGCCAAGACCGTACGAATCTCGAGGCCACCTTCGAGGTTCGTATCCATCAGCCTTGATGCGTCGAGGAGAGTCATCCGCATCCCATTCCCGGTCATCCTCATGGAAATCCTCCCACATCGTATCGTCCTTTCGGCCTAGGAGCCATCGAGAGACAGACTTGAGGGCCTTGAGGCCTTCGAAGGGCCGGCCCAGATAGCTGTACAGTTCGGCGTAAATGTTGGCATCCGACCAAGAGAACTCAGGAGCATCTTCCGGTTCCAAAGACGTAAAGTATTTCACGCTCACCCGCCACTGGTCCACGGCTTTCTGGACCTCGTTGAGGTCGATGTAAGTTTCTGCAAGGTGTCGAAGCGCCCTAGCATTGTGTGGGACTTCTTTCAAAATACGCTCATACTCTGTCGCTGCTCGTCCATTGTAGCCCAATTCTCTGTAGATCGCTGCTCGCTGGAATCGAGTATTGTAATTTTTCGGATCCAACTCGATGATGCGGCTATAGCAGTAGATAACGTCGTTCAGTGCGCCTTGACGTTCCTCCCCGGCACGTTCGAGGATCATCCTTGCTACTTTCGCCCATACAGTAGGATCTTTGGGCCGCGTGTGAGCGCCGCTGAACAACGCGGTCAACGCTTTGTCTTTCTCGCCTTGGGCCAAGAAGATTTCGGACAAGAGCGAATGTGCCGCGAACATCTCGGGATTGACCTGAATGGCACGCTTCGTGAGATCAATGGCACGGTCATAATCACCGTCGATGAAGGCAGACGTTGCCTCCGAGTGCAATATCTTGAACTCGGGGCTCGGTTCTAATGGTTTGCGCGGTCCTCTCCTGATTCCCTTTCCACCGCGAGCACCATATCGACCAGAGAAGGGGCCTGTGCCCCTACGACGTCTCCGACCGTAGCCATCGTCGTCTTCCTCGGCCTGATTAGAGTATTCTTCCTCACTGGGTGCGGTCAGCGACAGACAGTAAGATTAGGGCACTGGCATGAAGTCGTGATACTGACCTTGAGCTCTCCTCTGAAGACAACGTATAGAGGGACTCGCCCGAATCGTCTGCTTCTTGATACGCCTCTGCATCCTCTTCAAAGGAAGCCTCATCTTGCACCTGCGAGGCGTTACCTGTGAAAAGGTCCTTATACAGGCGCGGGTCCAGGACGGAGTGAATGGAGGCCTCTCCTTGCGTGGTTGGCTGGCTTCCCTGCCATGGGTAATGTACCGTCTCATCAATATCGGGATAGACGTACTCCTGCGAGGGAGGTTGGTGATGTGGGTGATGGTCGTCCGGGTAATCCATTTTGGGATACAAGTATTCAGGTGACTTTACTAATACGGATTTTGTGTAGCAAGACTTTGCCGGCCACTGGCCCCTAGAGTGCAAAGACTGGCTGGAAACTAAACATAGACCTCCCTTGAGGCGCAGATCACTAAGTAAGCAGACAGACTAGCCGAGGTGTCGTCTCAGTCGTCTCAAAGATATCGGAGAGTGTTCTGTAAGACTATGCGACAAAGAAGCGATCATCATTGGGTTGAAGTGGAGCCACAGCAAACGGACAAGCAATTGGGGCTTGAGTCCAAAAACACGGTTGGATGGCGTTGCAATAGCGTCTAGAGAAGGCAGTTTAGAAACATTCGAGAACCCAAGGGAGGCGCACAAGACAAAGGGTAAGGCGGAGCGATAAAGGAAGGTCGGATCACGGACCTGGAGGGTTTATTCATAGCAACATGTAAGCGCCGCCAATCCCAGACTAAACTTGCCGATGCAGAAAACCGGCCAGACCGGCCGACTGGGACGCGTCGGAGGCAGTGGGATATAGAAGTAAGATAGGTCAGATGGAAGGAGAAGATATGACCAGATCTTGAACGATAAAATTGTCGGTATAGTCAATGCTACAAAAGATATAGAATGTCGATGATGATTGAAGTCCTGGAGTATCTGGACAGGCGAAGAAGAAGAAGAAGCAAGTAAAGAAAGAGGTTCGTTCGGCGGAGAACAAATCAAGCCAAACACAACCCAAACCAGCCAATCCGGTGACTTTTTCTTACGCCCGCCACGGCAAAGTGTCGTTTTTTCGTTTCGCTTCTTGTTTCTTTCGTTCTTGACTTGTTCTGTTGCTTCTCTCCATCTTCTTTTCCGCCTTTCTTCGACTCCCTCTGTGTCTCGGTCTTATTCTCCCTCTTCCCTTCTCCCCCCCATCCATCTTAACTCTCTCTTTCTCTCCTCCTCCTCCCCCCCCCATCTTCCCTCACCTCCCTCGCCCATCAGGTTTCTGCTTCTTCGCTCCCCCCCCTTTTTTTTCTTCTTTTTACTTTCCTTTTTATTTGATGTTCTAGGTATCTTGCTTGCTGTGTTTGACACACTATTGCAGATAACCCTGACATCCTTTCGTTAAAAAAGAAGAAAAAAAAGAAAAAGAAAAGTCAAAAAAAAGCGCAACCCACACTTCCCCTACACTAATTCCACCCGGGAA